AAAAAAAAAAAAAAAGAAATCCCATAGCTGTTCCTCACTGGGCCTGCCTGACCCCACCAGCTCACCCCGCCTTTGCTATTAAAAAAAAATAGTAATACAAATGGAAAGCTGGAAGCCCAGAGACATGAAGTGACTTGACAAGGTTACCATACATTGGAAGCAAACTGGACTAAGAAGCCCAGTGTCCAGACTCTCATCCCATTGCCTTATGTTCAAATGCGTAAAATAAAGGTAAGATAGCGGGGAGTCTTTAAAACGTTATGATCTTTCACATATCTAAGCACTTCTGTATTCGACAATTATTTGTCAAGCACATAGTATGTGCCAGGAACTAGGTTCAACATTCAGATTTGAGGAATAAGACCTTGGTTTGTCCTCAAGGGATTTTCCATTTGTTGGGAAAGGTACTCCAATCAGTGTCCTCTGTGCAGAGGCAGTGGTGAACATAAGCATTATCCAAGTATGGAGAAGCAACATATAACCCAGTCTTGGAGAATTAGGACATGCTTCTGTAAGAGATAAGAAACACTGCCAGGCACAGTGGCTCACGCCTGTAATCCCAGCACTTTGGGAGGCCGAGGCAGGTAGATCATGAGGTCAGGAGTTCGAGACCAGACTGGCCAAGATGGTGAAACCCTGTCTCTGCTAAATAGACAAAAATTAGCTGGGCGTGGTGGTGGGCACCTGTAGTCCAAGGTACTCGGGAGGTTGAGGCAGGAGAATCACCTGAACCCAGGAAGCAGTGGTTGCAGTGAGCCAAGATCACTCCACTGCACTCTAGACTGGGTGACAGAGCAAGACTCTGTCTCAAAAAAAGAAAAAACAAGAAAGAAAAGAAAAATAAAAAAAACACTAGCAGAGATTTGGGGGACGAGAGGAGTTGGCCAGGGCAAAGGTAAAGTGGGCAGCATCCCAGGGGAGGAGAGAGAGAAGGTATATGCCTCCAGGTGAAAGAGCAGCATGTTTGGGAAACTGTAACTATTTTGCTGGGGGCTGGTGTGTAGAGTCCTAGGATGTGGTGGACGATCAAGGTAGTATTGGTAGCAGAAGTCAGATGTTACCTGAACCATGTCAAGGAGTTTGGACAAGATGTCACCAATGGGAAGCTGTTGCAAGCTTGCAAGCAGGGGAGATTTATGATCAGGTTTATATTTGAGCACAATCCCTTTGCTGCGATATAGAGGCTGGGTCCCAGAGAGGGGAGGATGCAGAGCAGCACTGCCATTGATCCCCATGGAAATGTGGCATGAGCAAGGAAGGAATGTCTGTATTATCGCTCTGAGATGCGTGTTGCCTCAGCACACTTAGCTTGTCATAGGATTTGCATGTTTTTTAAATTTTTCTGACTAACATAATCATTAAAAGAGCAATTATAGAAAAAGAATAGGAGAGAAGAGGGGGCCTAGAATGGAAACTTGAAGAACATAAACATATAGGCAAAGGCAAAAGAAAAGAAACTCATGAAGTAGCCTGGAGAGAAGGAGTCAGAAAAACAAAGACAACCAACAAGATGCGAAATCACAGAAGCTAAGAGGAGGGAGTGCTTCAGCAAGGCGGGAGGGGTCCACTGGGACAAATTCTGCAGAAGAGTTAGGTAAAATACAGAGTCAAAAGGTCTGGTGGAGCTCCATAAAACCCACTAGTGATCTGGTAACTGGTTTTGAGGAAAGAAGCTAGGTAGCAGTGGGTCAGGGAGAGAATGAACTCGAAGGAAATGCAATCACTCCACTTTCAGCTTTTGTGGAACTTGGATCTGGAGGGATGCAATGGGCTAGGGCATCAGTTAGAAGGAAATGGGAGGCCAGGCAGGAAGGGGTGCATTTCAGCACAGCCGTTCTGTTGACAAGATCTGAGGAAAAGTGAACAAATGACTTAAGTCCACAAAGAAGGGGTGGAACTCAGAGCACAGGTGAAGAGAAAATTAGACAGATCAATGAAGTAAAACACCATGCATATGAATGAAGCATTCACACTTAACAAAGAAAGAGGAAAAAGCATTTATCTCACAATTAATCTTCAACTCTTGGAAGAATTTTTATTTTACTAGTGTGATTACACACAACTTTCTAATAAAGTCAGGATTCCTGGGGAGAAACATCCAAAGACAGGTATATCTCAGGTCATATTGATTGGAGGACAAGGCAACCAGATTAAAAAAAAAATGTCAGTCTTTTCAAGAGGTAGGGAAGAGGGAACATTGGATTTGTTGTAGGACATCTCAGGAGAAAAGTCTACAGAAAGGAAGAAACTATTACGTTCAACCTATTAATTAACCTTAGGGAGAGAGACATGATCCCTTACTACATGAGTGCGAACTAACCATTTGGGATCTGAGTGTATAGTATGTGTGTATTTGGGTCTGTGTGTGTGTGTCAGCATAATGAGAGTAATTTTTCCTCAAATAAGGAAAGCATCGGTGGTGTTTATAAATAAAAATAAATAAAAGCAGAATCAGCTGAGTAACCCCCTAACTATAGTTATTATGACAACTACTTACCATTTATACGTGAATACCAAAGACATAGACACTTATACATGTCCTTGATGTGTTTATCATATTAATTTTGTTTTAACTGGTTTGGCATATAGCTAAAATCTGTTTTTTAGGTCTCAGTTCTTCTATTACTCAAGGAACATAATTGTTCAAAGACTAATTTCTCAGAGGAATATAGATTACAACATCCACATGATATTAATTCTTTGGACATTCAGAAAGCCTTTAAAAATCTGTTTTCTATTTACCCAGCAGGATAATTCACCTGATAGGAAAAACTAGAGTTAAACGGTATCTAATTTTTGAAAAAACTTAATAAAAACAAAATCTCTTTGAATTGATCGTAACCCAGTATGAATTGTAAATGCAAGTGTGTGTCCTCCCTCTTCACCCTGGCTGGGTCATCTCATAGCCTGTGTGAGGCTGTGAGGCCCCATGAGGTTCCTTCTTCAAAAGATGAACTCATTTCTTCTTTTTTTCTGGGCTTGAAAATTGACGGCAAAGGGGAGTTTTTGCCACATAATGACTTTAGTGTAAAAGTTCAATTTTTATTACTCTAAATAAGAATGACGGTGGTGAAGGTGGGTGAGGGGGAGTTTGGAGCAGAGAGCTAGAAGAGAGATGACTTATAGCAGAAATAAGCCTGTTATATCAACAGATTGCACAGACAAAATACTTTAATCCCAATTTGGAATTCTTAGATATATATATTTTAAAAACTATGTTCTAAATTGCGATTTGCCTTTAAAGTGTGTGTGTGTGCGCGCGCGCACATGTGTATGAGAGACAGAGAGAGAGAGAGGATATACACACACATGCACACAGAGCACAGTAGTTTAACAAAAAGAAAATGTGCTATTGTGTGCCAAGCCTGGAGTCAATGTGGTAAGGGAGGCTTTCTATTAAAAATAGTAGGCTCATACATAATTATAAGATCATGTGATATAATATTTGTATTTTCAAATACAATAGATAGAGGCACATGTCAAAGGGTATGAGAAGCACAGAGAATTAATTCCTGCCTGAGGAAGTAACATTTGAGGTGAATCTTGACCAATGAACAGTGAATGCTCAGGAAGAGGTACAATAGCATGTGCAAAGGCACAGAGCATGAAAAACTATAATGAAACATGACAAGTCTACATGACAAGCTAAGAGGCTGTAGGCAAGGAGATACCCTGAGAGGTTTGGAGCAGAGAAGTGACATGTTCTGCATCTAGAAAGATAAGCCTGGCAGCACTTGTAGAAGACTAGGCTAGGGCACTAGTGGGGATGAGGCCAGAGATGATGGACTGAGTGAGGACAATAACCAGGGGGTAGACAGGGAAAAAGCAGATGAAGGACACATGGGGCTTGCTTACTGGTTGTTGGTGGGGGATGCGGAGGGAGAGGCCAGCCCCGCCTGTCGGTAAAGGAGCTGATGCTTTCACCCTCATCCTTCTCACACAATTGGTTTGGAAAAGAGTTCAGGGAGGAGACATGATTAATTATTATACCCCCAAATCCAATTCATGTTATATACTTTACTCTGCAACTTATTTTTAGGCTTAACAGTATATCCAGAGGTAATATTAAAAATGGTAACAACTGAGTAAGTGGCAGTCCAGGTGTGTTGCAGACTCCCAGGACAATCAGTGGGACTCAAACTCATTCTTTTTAAAAAATAACTTAAAAAAATATATAATAGTTGTCCATGTTTGGGGGATACATGTGACATTTTGAGACATGTAATGATCAAATCAGGATAATTGGGATATCCCTTGACACAATCATTCAACTTTTCTTTGTGTTGGGAACATTTTAGTGCTTCTCTTCTAGCTATTTTGAAATATGCAATAAATTATTGTTAACTATAATTTCCTTATCAAATACTAGAATGTATTCCTTCTAGCTAACTGTATTTTTGTACCCATTAACCAACTTCTCTTCAGCCTCCCTTCTCTTCTTCCCTTCCCAGACTCTCATAACCACCATTCTGCACTTTACCTCTATGTAAAACTCATTCTTTGAATTACTGGTATGAAATCCCAAAGCGTGAAATGTATTATAATTCATCCATCCATTCAATTGTGGGTGAGAGATCACTTAGTTTCTCTTTCATTGTCACCACAGACAATGCTGCAATGAACACCTTTCAAGCGTATCTGCACATTTCTGCTTTGAAGACACTTTCATGTTTTATTTCATGTGAATCACATTTTGTAGCATCTTACATTGTCTTCTACAGTATTATTTGGTGTTCAGATACCTGATATTGTGTGTAAACAAATATTTAAACATACTAAAGGCCCAAAGGCAGGGCATGCTTACCAGTTATTCTTCCAAGGCCTGGGATCCTTGACCCAGCTTCCCCAGCCAGATGAGCTCCCAAGCTGTGGCCAATCAAGTGCACTTTAGAAGGAGAATATCCAAATTTTTTCTGAAAGGAAAACAGAATAAGTATTTTTACAAGAGCAGTGGAATAGCTTAAATATGATTTTAAAAAGAGAGGAAAAAAAAAGAGCCAACATGGTTCTCCCTTTTACACATAAGATAGGCACTGGTAAAGTCTCAAAGTGACACCTCTGCCTACATCCTTATCCGACTGAAGGAGAATAGATGGGTTTGGAAGAATGGCTTCTATAGAGCTCTTCTGCTTGTGCTAAGGGGCTATCCTGTGGTCCTTGGAAGCAGGAGAACAGCTCCAGCAACTATATTTGTGCTTCTAGCTCCGTGGTGATCCTTCCTGAGGCCCAATCCTTTCAGCATGCCCACAACACGCATCAAAGGCAGTTTATTACTATAATGTTATCCACCTTGCCTGTGTCTGTATCCTACAGGTTAAAGCAACACTAGAAAATGTATGGGATAACTTTGGTTTTAAAACAGGAGCTTTAAAGAATATTCACAAACGCAAATAACTCAGTATCAAGAAAGCAAATGACTCAAATAAAAAATGGGCAAAGGATTTGAATAGTTCTCAAAAGAAGAACAGCAAACAAAAACATACAAACAGCCAACAGATTCATGAAAAAATATCAAACCTCCCTAATCATCAGGGAAATGCAAATCAACATCATAATGAGATATTACCTCACATCTGTTAGAATGGCTATTATAAATAAAAGATAACAAGTGCTGCCAAAGATTTAGAGAAAAAGGAAAACTTACACACTGTTGGAGGGAATGTAAATCACTATAGCCATTATGGAGAATTGTGTTGTTTCCTCCAAAAACTAAAAATCAAATTACTGTATGATCTATCAATTTCACTTCTGGGAATACGTGCAAAGCCATCAAAATCATTATGTTGAAGAAGAGCTATTTGTGATCCCATTTTCATTGCAGCATTAACCACAATAGCCAAAATATGGAATAAACCTGTGCCCATCAATGAAATAATGGATAAAGAACATGTGGTATACCTATACAATGGAAAAAGGAAATTCTATCATTTGTGACAACATGGATGAACCTGGAAGACATGCTAAGTGAAAGAAGCCAGGCACAGAAAGACAGACACTGCATGACCTCGCTTAATATGTGGAATTTAAAAAAGCAAAACTACATAAGAAGAGGAGAATAGTTGTTATCAGAGGTTGAGGTTGGGCTGGGTGGGGAATAGGGAGATATTGATCAATGGGAGCAAAGCTTCAGCTACATGGGAGGAATAGGTTTCTGAGATTTACTGCATAGCATAATGACTATAGTTAATAATAATGCATTGCATATTTCAAAATTGCTGAATAGATTTAAAATGTTCTCATTATTAAAAAATGGTTTGGGAAGTGTCAGATATGTTAATTAGATTGATGTAATAATTCTACCATGTATACATGTGTACATATATTAAAACATCACAATATACCCCATAAATATGTGCAATTATTATTTGTCAATTAAAAACAAAAATTTAAATAAAAAAGAGTATTCACAAATAGATTATACATCTAGAGTTTAAACAAACCAAACTGTGATAGGGAACAAAGGAGCAAGCATTTTTAAATGTTTTAAATATCAGAATAAATTTAACATGAAACCTACCATCTTAACAAAATTTTAATTGTACAACCCAGTTTTGCTAAATACAGGCATGATGTTGTTCAGTAGATCTCTAGAATTTACCTATCTTGCATAATTGAAATTTTATACCCATTGAATAGCAACTCCATTTCTCTTCTCTTTTCCCCACCTCCTGAAAAGAAGCACTCCACTCTCTACTTCTATGAGTTCACCTATTTTAGATACCTTATGTGAGTGGAATCATGCAATATTTGTCCTTCTGTGACAGGCTTATTTCACTTAGCATAATGTCCTACAGGTTCATCTGTGTTGTTGCATATGACAGGATATTCTTCTTTCTTAAAATTGAATAATATTCCATTGTGTATATATACCTTTTCTTCATCCATTCATTTGCTGATGGACATTTAGGTTGTTTCCATGTTTTGACTATTGTAAATAATGCTTCAATGGACACGGAAGTGGAGATATCTATTCTAGATCCTGATCTCAGTCTTTTGGATAAGTACCTAGAAGCGTGATTGCTGGATCATAAGGTAGTTTTATCTATATTTTTTTGAGGAATCTCCACAGTGTTTTCCATGATGGCTGCACCATTTTACATTCCCACCAACAGTGTACAAGAGTTTCAATTTCTCCTAATTCTCAACATTTACAATTTTATTTTTTTGATAATAGCCATTCTAAAAGATGTGAGGTGGCATCTCACTATGAATTTGATTTGCATGTCCCTGATGATTAGTAATGTTCAATATTTTTTTATAAACCACTTGGTTATTTGCATCTTTAAAAAAAAGCCTATTTAAGTCCTTTGCTCATTTTAAAGTCAGGTTGTCTTGTTGTTATTAAGTTGTTAGAGTTCCTTATATATTTCGGATGTTAAACCCTTATCAGATACATTGTAACATATATGGTTTGCAAATATTTTCTCCCATTCCATAGGTTGTCTTTTTACTGTGTTAATGGTTTCCTTTCCTGGGCAGGATCTTTTTAGTTTGATGTAGTGTCCTGTGTTAGTTCATTTTTGCATTGCTATAAAGAAATAACTAAACCTGGGTAATTTATAAAGAAAGGAGGTTTAGCTGGCTCATGGTTCTGCAGGCTATATACAGAGCATAATGCTTGAATCTGCTTCTAGTGAGGCCTTAGGAAGCTTAGGATCATGGGGGAAGGCAAAGGAAGAGCTGGTGTTTCACACAGTGAGAGCAGGAGTAAGAGGCAAGTGGGGAGGTGTCATGCTGTTTACAACCAGATCTTGTGCAAACTAACTGAACAAGAACTCACTCATCACCAAGGAGGTGGCACTAAACCATTCATGAGGGATTCATCCGCTTTATCTAATGCCTCCCACTATAAGCCCCATCTCCAAACTGGGGATTACATATCATGATGAGATTTGGAGAGGAAACACACCTAAACCATATCATTCCACCCCTGGGCCCCTAAACCTCATGTCCTTTTCACAATGGAAAATACAATCATCCCTTCCCAATACTCCCTCAAAGTGTTAATCATTCTAGCGTCACTCAAAGTTCAAAGTCAAAAGTCTCATCTGAGACTCAGGCCCAGTTCCTTTTACCTATGAGCCTGTAAAATAAAAAACAAGTTATTTACTTCCAAGATATAATGGTGGTACAGGGATTGGATAAACAGTCCAATTCCAGAAAAGAGAAATTGGCCAAAAGAAAGAGGTAGTAGGCCCCACGCAAATCTGAATCCCAGCAGGTGAGGGATTAAATCTCAAAGCTCCAACATAATCCTTGACTTCATGTCCCAAATCCCGGTGTGAGGAGTGGGCTCCCAAGGCCTTGGGTAGCCCTGCCCGTGTGGCTTCTCTGGGTGTAGCCAACATGCTGCTCTCTGGGGCTGGAGTTGAGTGCCTGCCAGTTTTTATAATCATGGATCTTCCAGTGGATCTACCATTCTGGGTTCTGGAGGGCAGCAGCCCCTTATCACAGCTCCACTAGGCAGTTCCCCAATGGGGACTCTGTGTGGGGGTTCCAACCTCATGTTCCTTCTTGGCATTGCCTTAGTAGAATTTCTCTGTTGGGGCTCTGCTCCTGCTGCCTGGGCACTCAGGCTTATCCATACGTCCTCTGAAATCCAGATAGAAGCTGCCAAGCTTCCTTCATACTTGCACTCTGAGCATTTGCTGATTTAACACCACTTGAAAACTTCCAAGGCTCATGGCTTGCACCCTTGGGGGTTTGTTCTAAGCTGTACCTGGGACCCTTGGAGCTGAGGCTGGAGCCTGAGCAGCTGGGATGCAAGAGGCAGTGTCTTGAAGGCTGAGCAGGGCAGTGGCACCCTACATATCTGATTGTAGATTGTTAGAAGCAGCCAAGCCACATCTTGAATGCTTTGCTGCTTAGAAGCTTTTGCTAGATACCTGAAGTCATTACTTTAAAGTTCAACATACCAAAGATCCCCAGGGTGTGGACACAATGCAGCTAAGCTCTTTGCTATGGTGTAACATGGGTGACCCTTACTCCAGCTTCCAATAACTTCATCATTTCTATATGAGACCTCATCAGCCTGGACTTCACTGTCCATATCTCTATCGTCATTTTGGTCACAACCATTTAACAAGTCTCTAAGAAGTTTCAAGCTTTCCCTCATCTTTCTGTTTTCTTCCCCAAGACTCTCCCAACATCTGCTCACTTCCCAGCTCCAAAGTCACTTCCACATCTTGAAGTATCTTGAAGTATAGCAATGCCCTGCTCCTTTTTACTCATTTTTTTTATGTTAGTTCATTCTTGTGTTGCTGTGAAGAAATATCTAAAGCCGAGTAATTTATATTTTAAAAAAAGAGGTTTAATTGGCTCATGGTTCTGTAGGCTGTATATAAAGCATAGTGCCAGCATTTGCTTATATCAAGGGCCTCTGGAAGCTTACAATCATGGTGGAAGGCAAAGGGGATGTTGGGGTACCACATGGCAACAGCAGGAGCAAGAGAGTAAGGGGGGGTGCCATGCTCTTTTAAACAAACAGATATTGTGTGAACTAACTGAGCAGAACTCACTCATCATCAAGAGGATGGCACTAAGCCATTGATGAGAGATCCACCCCATGATTCGATATCTCACACTATGCCCACCTCCAAATTGTTGACCACATTTCAACATAAGATTTGGAGGGGACACACATCCAAACCACATCCTCCTTTTTGTCTAGTTTTGCTTTGGCTGCCTGTGATTTTGGTGAAATATCCAGGAAATCATTGTCAAGTCCAATGCCATAAAGCTTTTCTTCTGTTTTCTTTTTTGAATTACATATTTTTAGGTGTTATGTTTGTCTTTAATCTATTTCAAATTGATTTGTGTGTGTGTGTGTGTGTGTGTGTAGTGTAGACAAGGGTCCAATTTAGTTCCTTTTTATGTGGATATCCAGTTTTCCCAATGCCATTTGTAGGAAGAGCCTATCCTTTCTTTATTGTGTATTCTTCCTACCCTTGTGGAAGATCTGTTGACAATACGTGCATGAGTTTCCTTCTGAGCTCTCTATTCTGTCCCACTGGTCTCTATGTCTGTCTTTATGCCAGTGCCACACTGCTTTAATTACTGTATTTTTGTAATAAATTTTGAAATCAGGAACTGTGATGATTCCAGCTTAGTTCTTCTTTAACAAGATTGTTTTGGCTATTTACGGTCCTTGGTGCTTCCATATACATTTTACAATTGTTTTTACTATTTCTGTTAAAAAATGCCATTGGAATTTTGATAGGTACTACATTGAATCTACAGATAGCTTTGGGTTGTATGAACATTTTGATAATATTGACTCTTTTGATTCATGAACACAGGATGTCTTTCCATTTATTTGTGCCTTCTTTAATATAGGTCTGTTTAGATTATCTATTTCCTCATGATTTAGCCTTGGTACGTTGTATGTTTCTAGAAATTTATCATTTTCTTCTAGGTTATCTTAAATTTTATTGTGTAATTATTTATACTAGTCGCATGTTCCTTCTATCTCTGTGGCCTCAATTTTCATGTCTCCTCTTTATTTCTTATTTTTTAAAAGTCGGTCTTCTCAAGTTTGTTTTAGTCTAGCTAAAGGTTTGTAAATGTTTAACTTTTCAACAAACCAACTTGCAGTTTTGTTCATTTCTTAATATTTTTTATTGACTATTTTGTTCATTTCTGCTATAATTTTTTTTATTTCTGTTCTTCTGCTAACTTATTAGAATAAGTTTATTTTCCTTCATCTAGTTCAGGGGCATCCAATCTTTTGGTTTCCCCATGCTACAGTGGAAGAAGAATTGTCTTGGGCCACACATAAAATAAACTAACACATCATTATACATAAACTAATGTATCATTATATCTGATGAGCTTTAAAAAAGGTCCATTCATAAATCTCATAATGTTTTTAAAAAGTTTACAAATTTGTGTTGTGCCACATTCAAAACTGTTCTGGGCTTTGGGTTAGACACGCTTGATCTATTTCTTTTAGGTGTAAACTTAGGTTGTTGAATGGAGATCTTTTGTCTTTTTAAACTTATCACTATAAACTTTCTTCTTAGTCTGCTTTTGCTGAATCCCATGGGTTTTGGTATCTTGTGTTTTTGTTTTCATTTGTCTTACAATATTTTCTAATTTGACTTTTGATTTCTTCCTTGACCCATTGGTTGTTTAAAAGTTTGCTGTTTAATTTCCACATATTTGTGTATTTTCCAGTTTTCCTTTTGCTATTGATTTCTAGTTTCATTCCACTATGGTCAAGAAAGATACTTGGTATGATTGCAGTCTTGAGTTAGCTAAAGTGTTGTTCTGACCTAATTTGTGATCTATCCTGGAGAAGGTTCTGCATGTACTTGAGAAGAAAGTGTATTCTGCTGTTGTTGGGTGAAATATTCTATACACATGTGTTACGTCCATTTAGTCTGTAGTGTTGTTCAAGTTTGCTTTCTTATTTGTTTTCCATCTTGGTGACCTATTCATTATTGAAAATCAGATAATGAAGGCTCCTACTATTATTTCACTGCTGTGTATTTCTTCCTCCAGTTCTGTCAATATTTGCTTTATATATTTAGTTACTCTGATGTTGTGTCCATATGTATTTATAATTATTGTATCTTCCCGGTGAATTGATTCTTTTATCATTATACAATGACCTATGTCACTTCTGATACTTTCTGAGTTAAAGTATATTTTGTCAGATACAAGTACAGTCATTTGTTTTCTTACAGTTACCATCTGCATTGATTATTCTTTTCCATCTCTTCACTTTAAACCCATGTATGTCTCTAAAATATAAAGTGAATCTCTTGTAGACAGCATATAGTAAAGTCATTTCAAACTATTCAGTCCTTATCCCCTTCATTCTTCTTTTTATTCCCCATCTTCCTACCCCATTCCCAAGCACCTGCTTGCCCCAGAGCCAGTCCAGGTGGTAAAGTGTGGTGGTCTAGTAACCTGTGATGATATGACAGAAAGAGGTGGAGAAGAGATTCAGTTGTTCCTTTAGCCATTTTATATCTTTTGATTAGAGAGTTTAATCCATTTACATTTAAAATAATTATTGATGGAGAAGGACTCACTGTTGCTTTTTGTTTGTTTATTTTGTCTTGTTTTGAGACAGGGTCTTGTTCTGCCACCCAGGCTGGAGTGCAGTGTCAAGATCATTATCATAGCTCACTTCACCCTCAAACTTTTGGACTCAAAGAATCCTCCTGCCTCAGCCTCCTGAAGATCTGGGACTACAGGTGCATGTTACTATACCCAGCTAATTAGAAAAAACTTTTTTTTTTTTTTTTGAGATGGAATCTCACTCTATTTTCTAGGCTGGAGTGTAATGGCATGATCTCGACTCACTGCAACCTCTGCCTCCCAGGTTTAAGCAACTGTCCTACCTTAGCCTCCCAAGTAGCTGGTATTACAGACACCCACCAACATGCCTGTCTAATTTTTGTGTTTTTAGATGGGATTTCACCATATTGGCCAGGTTGGTCTTGAACTCCTGACCTCAAGTGATCCACCTGCCTTGGTCTCCCAAAGTGCAGGGATTACAGGCATGAGCCACCATACCTGGCCCTAAAACAAACAAACAAAAAACCTTTTTATAGAGACAGGGTCTCACTATGCTGCCCAGGCTTGTCTTGAACTCTAGGCCTCAAGTGATCCTCCATCTGAGCTTCCCAAAGTGCTGGGATTACAGGCATGAGCCACCACATCTGACCATTATTACTATTTTAAAAAATGATTTTCTACCTGTCTTATAGTTCTTTTGTTCCTCTTTTCCTCTATTGTTGTCTTTCTTTGGGTTTTGTTGATTTTTTGTATTAATATACTTTGCTTTTTAAAATCTTTAGTGTATTTTCAATAGGTACTTTCTTTGTGGTTACCACAGAGTTTACATAAAACATGTCATAGTTAGAATAGTATAATAGTGTATTTTAAGGAGATAACTTAATTTCAATCACATATCCCAAAATCTACACTTTTACTCCTTCACATCACGTGCTTCATGTTATTGATGTCATAATTACATCTTTTTTAAACTGTGTATCCATTAATATATTTTTGTAGTTATAGTTAATCTTAATACTTTTGTCGTTTAACTTTTATACTAGAATTAAAAGTGATTTACCTACACATATTACAGTATTTTGTATTTGTCTATAAGTTTACCTCTACCAGAGGTAGAGATAATATATTTTATTTTATATTTCCACATTCTTTCTTTTTTGTTTTTGTTTTTGTTTTTGCTTTTGAGACAGAGTCTCATTCTGCTGCCCAGGCTGGAGTACAGTGGTTTGATCTTGGCTCACTGCAGCCTCTATCTCCCAGACTCAAGTGATTCTTGTGCCTTAATCTTCCATGTAGCTTGGATTACACATGTGCACCACCATACCTGGCTAATTTTTTGTATTTTTAGTAGAGAACAGGGTTTCACTATGTTGCCCAGGTTGGTCTCGAATTCCTGATACCAAGTGATCTGCTTGCCTCGGCCTCCCAAAGTGCTGTGATTACAGGCATGAGCCACCACACCTGGTCTTCAGTTATATTTTTGTGCTCCAAGATTTGTTTGGTACTTTTTATTTATTTATTTTTAATCTTCTTGTTGAAATTCTCACTTTGTTCATGCAATATTCTCCTGACCTCATTTAGCATTTTTATGATGGTTATTTTGAATTGTCTGTCAGGTAAATCATATATCTCTGTTTCATTAGGGTTAGTTTCTGGAGATGAATCTGTTTCTTTGGTATACAGTGTTTCTTCATTTTCCTTGACTCTTTATATTGGTATCTGCACATTAGAAAAAATAGCCACCTCTGCTAGTGTTCATAGATTGTCCTTTGTGTGAGAAGATTCTCACCAATCAGCCTAGCCAACAATTCCAGGTGCTTGTCAAACCTCTATGCTGGTCCAAACCACATCTTTGTTCTTAGCAGCCCTCAAGCGTCTAGAGTAAGCTGAGTGTCATTAGTACTTCCAAGAGAGGCAAGACAGGAGTGGGTCTCTCAGACAGCCCCTGGAAAAGTCGGAACTTATGATTTGCAGTCTAACTCTTTAAGGGATTCTACTCACTCACTTTGTCTGTACTGAGCCAGAGGAAGGGGCTATAGTGACTGCTTGAATGCCATCTTTCTTCCCATCTTTGTTTTCATTGGCCCCCAGGTACTAAAATGTTCTGGGTTCTATCAAAGCTCCAAGACATGTGAAATTGAAGTATTACCCTGAGCAGCCCCCAGAAAAGCTGGAACATTGGGTATGAAGTTCCACTTTTTCCCTCCACAAAGTGAAGCTGGAAGCTAGGAGTTTCCTTCAGATCATATAGTGCTGGGTCAGAAGGAGTTAAGACAAGAGGGTATCTCAAATTTTCCTCCTGCCTTTGGTTAGCTGGTTTTGTATTTACCCAGGGTGTAAGAGCCTCTCAATTAGTTTCTGAATTTCTCACAAAGAAAATTTG